GCCCTGGCGCAGCCTGGAGGAGGCGGAGGTGGAAAAGAGACAGTCCCTGCTCCGGGCGGACGTGGGACAGGTGGGAGGTGGAGTGGGCCAGGAGCCAAGGGGGCGAGAAGGTTGTTCAGAGAGAAAGGAGGTGCTCCCCCTGTCTGGAAGGGTAAGCGAGTGAGTTGTGCTAACTTAAAAATAACAGGCCAAAGGGAGAGGCAACAAGCACTTACTTGAGATTTTAAAAAGGATGAAAAGAAGACCTACTTGGGAAGCACTGATTCAGGTAGAAACCCACGTGCATGCTGATTGGGGCATTTATGAGGACGGGATGGAGAACAGTTACATCCGTGAAGGAGGCATTTCTGTTGGTGCAGATCAGCCAACGTAGAGATGCTAATTCTAAAGAAGGTTTTTAATTTCCAGTCTGGGAGCCATCGGCACAGTAGTCATGTCTTTGCTTTGTTTTGTTTTTTGGTCATATTTGCAAGCAGTTCCTTGAGACGTAATGTTGCTTTAAGCCCATTCCAGAGATTTGAGGCCTAAGACGGGCACGGCAGCTCCTCTGGGATGGCAGCTCCAACTCCGTTTTCCAGTGGCTCCGTTGATACTGTGTTTTACAGAAGATGGTTTTATGGGTACATTGCTATTTATGTTGCTGTGTTGTAACATATAAAAAGAGCCAAGAAAACTCTGGGTGTCTGACCAAAAATTGCTTATTGATGATGATGATGATGATGATGATGATGATGATGATAATGTCTTGACAGACAAGAAATCATTTCTCCAGTACTCGAGAAGAGATGGAAGAACTTAAGAAAAGGATGAAAGATGCTCCCCAGACCTGCAAACTTCCAGGACAGCCAACAATTGAAGGCTATCTCTATACCCAAGAGAAATGTAAGTGGGAATACAGGATACCCACTGGTTTTAAGTAGGCAATCACCTACTGCTTCTTCGCCCTTCCAAACTTCAGGCATCAATAATGATCACAGACCTGAAAACTATACCTCTTTGGAGAGAAGTCTTGGAATAGTGAAAATAAAAAGGAAGGATAAATTAGAGGGGAAAGTTAAGGAATTGTTTTCCAAAGGCTCTGGGATAATAAGACCGCAGGTTTTCTCTGAGATTCAAAATGGGGATTGTTAACCGTTTAGTCATTTTAATGACTGTTTTACTGGGGCAAAAAGGGAGATAGGGGAACGGACACAGGAAAATAATATTTATTATACCTACTAAGTGCTTTAAGTAATGTATCTCATTTAATCTTTGAAACCATTTTGTTGGAGACATTTTTCACATGAGACTACTGAGGCGTAGAGATATCAATAGTTGAAAGTCAGCCAACTGTCAAGTAGCAGCCTACGTGTAAACTCATATGTACGAAAAGTCAAAACCTATGCTCCTACCTCCATACTTTGTAACTTTCACTGCCTTAGGATTACATGGTTGCCCATAAAGCACTAAATAACCATTGTGATTTCAGTGGGCAAGGCAATTGTTCACTGATAGCCAAGGAAAATGTGTTAACTTATCCATTCACCAAACATTGCAGATGATTCAAGTTTTCCTGCCTCCTAAATTACATTATGGAAACATGTATATACTGTTTGATTTCCTTATGAACTATGACCTAATGCCTGTAAAGCCTGTGATTTTATTCCCTTCCCAGAATTATTCTACCTGAAGAGTAGGCAAAAGAGGTTATCCAGAGGTTACCAGTGGCAAAAACCACTGCAATACACAAAGCATAATATCGTAGCAGTGATGCTATTTTGCTTTTCCTCCCTTAGAGCAATTAAAGTTTGATGGTTTTCAAAGATGTGTTCTTCCATTTGTCAGATTCATTCCTTCAACTCCGCATTGCAGGATTTCTCAGTCTCAGCACTATTGACATTTTGGGATCGGTAATTCTTTGTTCTGAGGGGGGTATACTGTGTATTATAGGATGTTTAGCAGCATCTCTATTTTAATAGAACTCCCTAGGTGTGATAATCTGAAATGTCTTTAGAAGTTGCCAACTGTCCCCTGAGAGGCAAAATTGCCTCTGGCTATGAACCACTGTAATATTATAAAAGAAGTATAGAATAATCAGTTTCTAATCTTGGCTCTAATACTATTTAGCTATATGATCCTTCTATGTCCCCATTTTCTAATTTGTCAAATAGATATGGCATTGCTACTCAGTTGAATGTATGCTTACTGAGCATCCATTTTCCAGATAATATTCAGTGCATTAGGCATACAAAAAAATGAGAAACCTTCATTTTTGCCTTCAAGAAGTACACAGTTTGATGAGGAAGATGGACAAGCATGTTAATAGTTATAATGAAATGCATTGAGCATATATATAAGGGATATCCTGTCTAATAAAAGAGAAACATGGTAATTAGCATACGACCGCTACCCTTCCCATTGGCTAATCAGGGCAATATGCAACTCAGCCCCTCACCCAGACTGGCCAGGCACCCCAGTGGGGACCCCCACCCTGAATGGTGTGTGACCAGCTGCAAACAGCCATCATCCC